GGAGTGCTCTAATGATAACCACTTGTGGTTTTCCAGCCAAATATAAAGAAATCACACTATCACGCTTGAATTCCAAATCAATATTTTATCGTATACGAACGTTTTTTTTTTAATTTGATTAACTTCATTTAATTGACTCGATTTCTTGAGACCTGAAATTGCAGGTGGGTTACATTGAAGTATAGCACCGAATTTTGTGGTGGCGAAATTGAATAGATGATGTCGAAATAATTTAACGCGGTCACACCAAAGTTAAAGGATAATTACTTTTTCAAAATCGCTAAAAAATAAAAAAACAGAGACTATCTCATTGCAAAAATTCTAAAATCAGGGAAAAATCGAGAAAAAATGTACAATGCAATCGAATTCGCAAAAAACCAGCAAACAATTTGAAGATTTCTTTTTTCAATTTGTTTTTCTTTCCTGTAAAATTTATATAATGTACAATGTTTTCAATTTGGCTTATCATATGAATTCAATCATTTTTTGTGATCAAAATAAAGAATTATTTTTCTCATATAAAAACAAAAATCGGAAAAATATGCCAATAAAGAATATTAATGAGGTTTTATATTGAAGTGTAAATTTTTTGTTTTAAATTCTGGGACAGCAAATACCGAATATAAAGGACGCAAAATAGTACAGGGAATTGGACATTTAGTAAGAAAAGGATTTCTTCCTAAACTTTCAAGATACCTTAAATCGCTTTTGCAGGTCATGTGGGTCATAACCCCCGGATAATGGTAAAACCCGATTTCAAATATATTTTAAATGTTAACCATATTTTTTTTTCATACTAATTTCGGCAAATGGCAATTCGGTAATTTAAGAAGGAACCATCCTCGCAAAAACTTATCACCATAGCCATCATATAATTTAAGCTATTTTCGGGGTCTGTCTTTTTTGGCCCTTATTTAACATCTTTGTTTCTAAGGGAGTAGAAACCCTCTTCGCATACAATTTTCAATTTTCGGAGTAGGGCCCATTCCTGTCTTGACTACCTTCATCAATAGATTGGGCATTAACATTTTTATTTAAGCTATTCTGGTGTAGAGAACCATCTTGCAGGTAATTGTCCACATAGGCATTTATTTAAGTATAGTCCCCACATTATGTGCACCAATTATAATTTCCTAACCAATGTGTGGTCAGAAAAGAAAATTTTGTATTCCATTGAATTTGTAACCCTCAAGAGAATATTGGTTAGGAACGTACATTTGGGATGTACGTCTGTATGAAATAAACTCCAATTGGAACTCATTCAGTCGGAAATTGTGGCAGAAACATGTAAAAAATACGAATATTAGAAAGAAACGCGAGACCGAACATTTGTTTAATCGTCATTAAATTATACTATGATGAAAAATATGGATTTTATGGGGTCTCCAACGCACAATTTTAATGACATTTACCCTCAATTACGCGGTGGGCAAAACTAAATACCACGCAGCACGGTATTCTAAACGTTGGAAATACAAATTCAAAATTAAAGCTCATTTGAATGGAAAATGTTGCTAAGCTCTTTACAATACCAAGAATTGAGCTGAGTTTTCACACGGTGCTATTATGGATGTTCTATATCATATAGATTTTTAACACTCAAATTAAAGCGTGTGTCTCAAAAATAAGATCAAATATCTAAAACTGACCGTAGGTGAACCTCTATTGTTATTTTTGCCATAAATATTTATTTCTGTTTAGAAATTACTATGGAGTCATTTCTTATTATAAAAATTGTGACTTATAGTCGGATCTGTGATTTATTGTGGTTCAAATAATATTCATTAAATATTAGAAGTACGGGCCGGCAACACGAACCGGGCCAGCTAGTCCATTAATATTTTTAAACATGGTATAATTATTAGCAAATCCTAGCTAATTTTACTCTATAGTAATAGTCGTGTCAAACTCGATATGACAATTTGTAATCTAGTTCCATTTCTTGATATACCATAGGTATACACTTTTTTATATACAATTTCACTGCAGGGCAATGTGAACATATTTTTTGCCTAATAATAGACAAATTCGCTATTTTACTTAACAAAACGCCAACAGCGATGGCGCAGAATTTTTTTTGCGGATAAGGAACAGCGACACCACATTTGATAATATAGTCGAAAATTTAATGTTCTTAAAATTGCAAAATGCAGAATACGTTATATGCAATTTGGTTTCAATTTCAAAGGGAAGTTGCTTTTCCACATTTTGTAGCGATTGCTTGAGGTGTTGAGAGATTTGAACCTACAGCTAACAACTATACATTCAGGTGAATAATATGAAAGCATTAAAATTAAATATTTTAAGAACTATTCTTCTGAATTTTTAATTCAATAATCCAAATTCTAAGAATGAACATTAATTTGTAATAAAGCTACAGGTCGCAACTATGGTCGGATCCTCGAAATTTAAAATGTAGGTGGGGTTAGAGTCACAGTAGAAGTCTATTGTTTTTGGAGATGATCGCAAAACAAAAAGGGGTTAAAATAGACCAAAAATATAAAAAAATCTTGCTTTTCCTGTTGCTCTACATGCCACAATTATAGAATAAATCGACGCGGAATTTTGCGTGGAGTTAGAGACTAGGGCTGGGCAGAAGCTCACCCAATTGGATGGTCATCGAATCATAGTAAACATAAATCATGAGATTTTTATCAATTTGACTTACAATTTTGGTTATTTTTGGGTTATATTTAGCTGTAGAATAGACCACAACTTTTGTGAATTTATTTCGAATACATAACAACACGGAGTGCGTGAAAATGGGAAACATCTGGTCAGATCTCCATGACATTATTTTAAAAACGAAACCTTCCAAAATGGATTTGGACATAAGGGGGCTTCCAACATATTGTAGTGTTGAAGGGTATCATATGGTCGTCCTCGTACATCTGGGCAGGTCTCCATGACATTATTTCAAAAACGAAATCTTCCAAAATGGATTTGGACATAAGGGGGCTTCCAACATATTGTAGTATTGTAGGGTATCACATGGTCGGCTCCAAAGGCTACCTTTGCCTACTTGTTTACTTTTGTAAAAAGTAAGACGGTATCAGTCGGTTTTGCCGACGGATTTGTACCCTCAACTATTGACTGTTCATTTGAATATATTGTGACATCCGTTATTAATATTATTCAAAAGTTTGAGGCTTTATGGGCCAGGTGCCAAAGGTGTTGGCCAATATTTTCATTACGTATCTGATCTAAGCCTGATATAAATAGTACAACCTTAGCTTTATATGAGGTATATGATCATTTCTGGAAAATGTTGAAATGTGCACGAGGTTCCAGATATTGTGGACCGATGTATTTCACTTCGTCTAATAGCAATACAAATTTTAACAAGTTAAAAAGCAGTAAGTTCGGCCTGACCTTTTGCATACCCTCCACTATTTCGAACGAATTTGGAAATTTTCAAAAAATAATATCCGTTAACAATTCTGTTAAAATCTTAAAAATACCGAATATAGCCGTTATATTGGGGTCTATACGACGTGGACCTACATAGGCATTATTTGTTGCAAGCCATTACCATATTTTCTCTCACAAGCTGTAGCATCCATTACGAACTTCAAATATGGCATCTCAAATAATTTCTGTGAGTATTGTACCTAGAATCGTCAAAATACCGAATATAGGGAGGTACTGATATATGGACCAATTTTCTCTCACAGACTGTAGTTCCCATTACGAAATATAAATACGTAATTTGAAACTACTCCGGTGAATAATGACGCTAAAATTATCAAAATGTCGAATGTTGCGTGGTAACGTTATAGGAGGCTATTCGAAGACGTGGACCTGCACAGACAATTTTCTGTCATAAGCTGGAGTATCCATTACGAACTTCAAATGCCAAATTTGAAACAATTCCGATGAATAATGTCGCTAAAATCATTAAAATACCGAATATCGGGTGGTACCATTCGGTACGTCCCGAACTTAGCCTGCCTACTGGCAAAATAAACATGTGTGCAAAATTTTAGCCTTCTATCTCAATTTGTTCGAAAGCGTGATTACAACAGACAGACGGACATCGCTAAATCGACTTAGAATTTTACGCTGATCTAGAATATATATACTTTGTTGGGTCTGACATGAGTATTTCGAGGAGTTACAAACGGAATGAAATAGTTAATATACCCTACATAATGTAACCTTTTGTGGAGAAGGAACGAGAAGGAGTGACCCCAAAAAGGGGTGGGCCGGTTTGCTTCATTCATCTGAGATGTTTGAAATTTTATGAGAATCGGTGTTTACTTCGCATATTATGATTTATGCGAATGTTTAGGAGAATTGAATGCTCAATTCGCATTTTGTGATCGTTTAGGTTTTGGGCTGATATCTTCACAACAGATGTTATGTTAATAAAAATTTAGATATATTTTTCTTTTTAAATTAAGACGCTTTGAGGGGGAGGTACTAGAAGGAATTATAAAAACAGACATGCCGACGGACACCCCTAGATCGACTCAAATTGACTTGAAACGGATTTAGGGCTTATAGCCGTTTTTGCGATGGGACACGCTTTGCCCGTATACTTCTCATACTAAACTAATCAATATCCCGATAAATTCCAAGTTTGACGGACTAGAAATGTTGACTTTGCTTCCCAAATGGTTGTTTGTAGTTAAATATCGTTCATAGATTTTAAGGTAAACCAATTCTATGATAGAATTGAATTTGGTCATCATATTTTATAGTTAACTCAGTAACTACTCATGTATTCAAAGATCTCTTTTTTGGATTAGGAAAATTATTACAAGATGCCAAAGCTAATACTCAACAAGTTCATTAAGCAATAAAGCTTATAAAAAAACATTGGTTTTTAATTACTTGGAACAGTTATGAGAAACGTCGATGGTAACCCAATGTGTATTTCTCTTGTTTATCATTTTAGCATACATTCGTACATACATCCCTACATATTGATTACTATAAATAACGGTATGAAAGTATCCTTAAATCTAATAAACATTTTGTACTTCATTTATTTGTAGGTACTCTGTAACACTGGCGGTCTGAATCATATACCGTTACGTCATCTGCCAACCAATGTGGAACACTTGTCCCTGACTAAAAACCATTTTGCAGTCATCAAACCCGATTCGTTTGCCGGCCTTCGTTCACTGAAGAAATTATCTTTGGACGGCAATAACATAACCAAAATTAAGCAGTTTGCTTTCCGCGGTCTGCCCCGTCTCAAGGAGCTATCTATCCAGTACACGCCGCTGCAGGTGGTGACGAGCTTTGCCTTCGCTGGCCTACAGAACCTGTCCACCATTTTGCTAAGTCACAATCAGATTGCCAGCATAGAGGCTTACGCATTTGCCGGTACATCCAACGTCAAGCTAATTCTGCTGACCAATAATCCATTGTTACGCATTGAGAGTTTTGCCTTTTCCAGTTTGACACAAGTGGGTCATCTACTGCTGCCCGCTGGCATACGGACACTTGAGCCAAATGCCTTCTTCGGTATGTACACAGTCGGGCTGCTCAAATTGGCTTACATGGACCTCGAACATATTCAGCCATTCACATTTCGTGGTCTCTCGAATGTGCTTCTTCTCACAATACAAGAGTCGGATTTGGGTACAATCAGTGGTGAGGCATTCGCCGGACTAACTCAGGTGGACACACTTCAGTTGTTGAACAACAAGATTGACATTATCGAGGCACTGGATTTCAATGACACAGCAGCCATAAAAAATCTCAAATTACATGGCAATCATTTCCTGCAGACGCCGGAAGCGGATAACATTTGTCTGGATGGTGTGGACAACCTGGAGTTGGACGGCAACTACTTTCCCTGTGGCTGTCAGCTGCATAATCTGTTGGAGAGTCCCTTCGCCACTAGGACGCCCAACTCCACCCGTAGTCTCATGCAGAACAATTACTGCATTTCACCCATCGAAATGAACGGGCGTCGCATGGGGGACGTGCAGGTGGCGGAAATAGCCCCCTGTCAGGAGCACCTAATGCAGGCTAATTTGGGCTCGAGGGCAAGCAACCTCAAGCCCCCCGTTCTGTGCCTGGGTGCAGTAATGCTATGGCTCAAATTAGTTTTGGTCAGCAAATTATAGCAGGCAGCCCCCAGCAGCAGCTGCTAACTTCTCTCCAGTTTCATTTTGAGTCAATGCTTTGTTACTGTGAACGCACGTACATATGATGTTGTTAATTTCTGATTTGCAGTTCTCTGTTGGCCAATTTTCTACAACTATATAGAATTTATACAAGTATAAAAAATAAGAATAAGCTATAGGAAATAAAACTAAGTCAATTTTGCTAAATATATAACCCTAAACGAATACGATAATAAGTAATAATAAAAATGAATATTTAAAACTATATTGTGTTGTCTGTTCTCGGTTTGGTCAATTATATTTAGAGGTGGATTAGTTTGAACTTTAGTTTCGGAATACTGGTAAAAATTTCAAAATTCAATGGCAATCCGTCAAAATCAAAATTTTATCCAATCAGCAGCTGGAAACTATGCTACTATTTTTTACGGGAACGGATTTCACAGCGTTAATCAAAATTCGACGTAGCGCATACGTTCGTATTTCACAAATACGGCAGGTTCACATCTTATCATATACCAAATAAAAACGTCGTAAAAATGGATACTTTTTAATTCCGCCAATTGTAACATTTTCCAATTAAAACATTCACCCCTTTTTCAAATTATTAATTTCTTTTTTCAACACAAAAAAGAATTTTTTCTATTGTCAAAGTTGAAAATGTTCATCTTTGAAATTTTGTACACCAAACGTATTTGGGTAACTCTTTATAAATAAAAGAGTCTTACTTATATGGTGAAAAACGTCGACCGAGTACGTCGAATATTAGGTAACGTTGTTAACCAGTACACAATAGGTTCTGGAACATAACGTATATACATCCTGTTTGACAACATTCAAATTTGAAAATTAACAAGTTAAAAAGCAGTAAGTTCGGCCGGGCCGAACTTTTAATACCCTCCACCATTTGCAACATATTTGGAAATTTTCAAAAAAAAAAAAAAAAAAAAAAAAAAATCCTTAAAAATTTCTGTTAAAATTTTAAAACCAGTAAAGAAAGACTTAAAGTCGGGCGGGGCCGACTTTATGTTACCCTACACCACTTTGCTAATTTATTACAGCTCCACATAACAATTAAAAGTTTTTATGGGAGAATTCAATCATACACGCTATGATTATAATTTAAAGTTCAAAGGACTAAACATGCCGAAGCATTTGTATCTTTTAAATTCGGACTTGTATTGACCATTTGGTGCACAATTAATTTGAAATCGGATAAATATATATATGGGAGCTATATCCAAATCTGAACCGATCTCGATAAAATTTGGCAAAGATATTTCTGAGCTGTATTTGATATATTTCCCTGAATATCGTTGTTACGGAGTGCATATTACGGTTGTGGGTAACAAATATAACAAATCGGATGAATAATATATATGGAGCTATAGCCTCCTCTATATCTGAACCGATCTTCACCAAATTTGACATACTAGCTTCTAGACTCAATTCGGTCGTATGTGCCAAATTCCATCCCATTTGGACAAATATTAGACGTTTGGTGCACAATAAAAGGTAAATCGGCCGAAGTTATATATGGGAGCTATACCCAAATCTGAACCGATGTCGATACTTTGTTTACAAAAATACATGGACAGACGGACGGACGGACGGACATGCATAAATCGACTCAGAATGTGATTCTATGCAGATCATCAAAAGGAACTATGGGTCTATCTCGTTTCCTTTTGCCTGTTACAAACAAATGCACAAAGACATAATACCCTGACCACCTTGTGGTGTAGGGTATAAATACCGAATATAGCCGTTATATTGGGGTCTATACGACGTAGACATACATAGGCATTGTTTGTCATAAGCCATAACCATATTCAAATTCTAAACTTGAAATAAACGATGAATAATCTAGCTAAAATCATCAAAATATCGTATATAAGGAGGTGCCGTTAAATTGAAGCTGTGCGAAGACCTGGACCAGCATAGACAATTTTCTGTCACAGGCTGTAGCATCCATTACGAACTTCAAATACCACACCTCAAACAATTTCGGTGGTTATTATACCCTCCACCAAAAAAAAGTATGGAGGGTCTATTAAGTTCGTCATTCCGTTTGTAACTCATCGAAATAATAATTTTAGACCCAACAAAGTATATATATTCTTGATCAGCGTAAAATTCTAAGACGATTTAGCCCTGTCCGTCCGTCTGTTGTAATCACGCTACAGTCTAAACGAATTAAGATAGAAAGCTAAAATTTTGCACAGATCGCTTTTTTGTCTGCAGGCAGGTCAAGTTCGAAGATGGGCTATATCGGTCCACGATATCGTATAGCCCCCATATAACGGTGCCCCCGATATTCGGTATTTTGATGAGTTTAGCCACATTTTTCAATGGAATTGTCTGAAAATCCACACAAGTAGTTCCTTGTGGGTACTTTATACCTCGACAGAGAATTATCTATATAGGTCCACAATATCGTATAGCCCCCATATAACGGTACCTCATGGTATTCGGTATTTTGATGATTTTAGACTGTCCCGCCCAAAGCGGGACGTATGGTCACGTTAGGTATAGTCCCCATATAACGGTATTTTGATGATTTATGCCACATTTTTTCACGGATTTGTCTGAAAATTGGTATTTGTAGGTAATAACGGGTCCCTGTGCGTGTGGCAAAACATTGCATGTATAGGTCCACGCTTTGGTATAGCCCCCATATAAAGGTACCTCCCGATATACGGTATTTTTTTTGCCACATTTTTTTACGGATTTGTCTAAAAATTGGTATTTGTGGGTCATAATGGGTCCTACTTCGTGTGGCGTAACATTGTATGTATAGGTCCACGTTTTGATATAGTCCCCATATAACGGTACCTCCTAATATTCGGTATTTGGATGAGTTTTGACATATTTTTTCAAGAATTTCTCTGAAAATTGGTAGTTGTAGATCATAATGGGTCCCAGTTCGTGTGGCGAGTCATTGTAATTAGAGGTCCAAGTTTTGGTATAGCCCCCATATAACGGTACCTCCCGATATTCCGTAATTTGATGATTTTTGCCACAGTTTTTCACGGATTTGTCTAAAAATTGGTATTTGTAGGTCATAATGGGTTCTAGCTCCTTTGGCGAAACATTGCATGTGTAGCTCCATGATTTGGTATAGCCCCCATATAACGGTACCTCCCGATATTCGGCATTTTAATGGTTTTTGCCACATTTCTTCTAATGTTTTCTTTACCCTAAGGTGGAGGGTATTAAAAGTTTGGCCCGGCCGAACTTAATGTTTTTTTACTTGTTATTTATATAGATAATCAATCAGAATTTTTTTCACGAATAAACTAAACAATTTCAAAATAACTTTAGTTACTCAAAATTTTAAATTAATTTCACCAATGCACCTTTTAGCTAAAATATATTATTTCACAGAACAGTTTGCGACAAAATGACCGAGAAGTAGGCTTGCTTGGCGTTGGAAATACTCACCAGTAAACGTAAACAATTAAAAAATTATTAGGTTCGGCCGGGCCAAACTTTTAATAGCCTCCACCTTAGAGTAAAGGAAACATTAGAAGCCATTGTGTCCCACAAATACCAATTTTTAGACATATTCGTATAAAAATGTCGCAAAATCATCCAAATATTGAATATCGGGAGGTACCGCTATAATGGGCTATACAAAAACGTAAACCTATACATACAAAATTTTGGCAAGGGAACTAGAACCCATTAGGACACAAAAATACCAATTTTTAGACAAATCCTCGAAGAAAAGTGACAAAAATTATCAAAATACCGAATATTATATGGGGCCTACACACAAATAGATGAACCCATGGTACAATGAAGACAAGGTATGCTAACTTTGATGTCTACCTGTTCGGCGTGTAATGTACAAATTATTATCAAAACAATCAAAAAACCAAACAACTTACTGCACTGATTTTAAATAAATAATTGAAAATCCCGAAAATTTAATGAAAGGTCAAATTTTACTGAAGGTTTATTTCGCTCCAAAAACTGTAGATTTTGTCGACACATACGTTGCAATAAGCACTTTGAAAACACCTGAATTGGAATATTTTATGAAAGAAATTTTATTATTATAAAGAATACACACACATAAACAAATAAAGTTGACGTATTATGCAAGCCACACACGAAGCAATTGGTTGTACAACTTGGAAAGGTTGTATTCAAGATTGTATCGTTTGTAGCCCGGTTGTACGAAGTTGTGTCACGGTTGTACAAAAAATCAAAAAATTTTGATATTTGGCATGTTGTACCAACCGATTGTAATGTGTATGGGCATGTCGCACACAATTTCATTTTGTGTTTATTTTCAAAGAGGCAACACCATTGTTCGCACATCAAAACAATACGAAATCGGATCAAATGTGTGATTTCAATGAAAATATAAAACAAATAAAAAAATAATGTATAAAACGGAATTTCAAAAATTAATAATAAATAAAGGCTATTAAGTAAATTATTAAGTAAATTATAGAGAATCTTAACTCAAATGAACTCTTGGAAAAGTGAAGTTGTACAAAGAGGTTGTATACAAAGTTGTATCGATTGTGGCCGAAGCATACAACTTGACAACCCTCCAGGTTGTACCAATGGTTGTATCGTGTGTGGCTTGCATTAGGCCAAGAAAATAAAAAAAATAAAATCATATGGTATCATAGCCTTGATTTTATTGTACCATGGGTGAACCAATATTGGCAATTTATATAGGAGTTTTGTTGAAAAATATGACTACAATCACCAAAATACCCAATATCTGAAGGTATTGGAGCAATATAAAAAAATCGTCATCAATGATCTATCACCAAAACTAGAACCCATTTGAGCCCTAACTCGGAATTTCAAACAATTCCGTTAAAAAATGTGGCTGAAATCATCAGAATAACTAATATACGGAGCTACAGTTATGTGGGTGATATAGGAGAATATGGACTTGTAGAGAAAATAGACTTTTGCACATATGACCGAATTTTGCCAAAAGCAAGTATGCCAAATTTGTTGAAAAGCGGTACAGGTATAGCTATAACTTTCACATATGAGTTTCTTCTGAATTGATGTTGTAGTCATCCACGGACATTATATGCCCTCCATAAGAAAGATATTTGGGGCAAGTTATCAAATACAGCTTAGAAATACCTCTGCCAAATTTTGGATGTAGAACACATATGTATCCCATATTGTGCACCAAATGTTTTATATAAGCCCAAATATGGATGAATGGATGCATGCAT